CATTCTCCCACAGATTCTCTGAGTTTTGCACACATTTCTTCTGCCTGGAAAGGTGCCTGCCTCTACTTTACTTCTTAGGCATGTTCAAGCACACTTTATTCCAAGGAGCAGGGAACCAGTATGCCTTTTTCTTTCCTTTTTTTAAAAGCAGTATTTTGGTTTCTCCCACAGTATTCTGAAAAGGAGGATAAATATGAAGAAGAAATTAAACTTCTGTCTGACAAACTGAAAGAGGTGAGTGATCACACCCAACTGGTCAAGTTTCTCCTGGCGCTGGTCTTGAAGCAATCATAGTAACTCTCGTCTTTTCCTTTAGGCCGAGACCCGTGCTGAATTTGCAGAGAGAACAGTTGCAAAACTGGAAAAATCTATTGATGACCTGGAAGGTATGAAATTACCATCTAATTTTGTTTGCTCTGTCTCCCCCTACTTGACACATCCATGGAAAGTTGGGGAATATCTGTGCAGGGACTAAGTTGGGCTATGTTCAGTTTCGGATAGTAAGTGCAAAGTGATGTCACATCTGGAAGTCTGGAGCTTTGGAATCAGATAGTGCAAATCAAATTCAGACTCGGGTTGCCATTTTTTGAGAAATAAAATATCTTTGGTTAAACACCTCCACGTGTGAGTACCAAGACCCAAATATGGCTGATTTTTTTAAAATGCCTTTAGAATTTTCTTCCATTTCCTCATTTCTGAGAGATGCCTTGCATTTTTCAGATGCCTTGCATTTTTTACAGAAGCTCTCTCTCCCAGAGAGCTGAGCTTATCACTATATGAGACAACGGAAATACAGAGAACGTAGGGACTAAATAAAGACTCCAGTCTGCAAGCCTGGTGCCCCCACAGATTCCAGAATTTCTTGTAGAGTTCCAACTTTTAAAAAAATTCTGTCCTGTGTTCTTCATGAAATAATTCTGGAATTCCAGATCTTGGGGTTCAGACAGGATCCCCCAAGCTGCCTCTTTCACCTAGAAAAGGTACAAAACTTATTCCTCAGACCATGTGTCCCGAGTTTGGTTTGGGAAGTGAGGCTTCCATATAAGGAGAATTGTCCTCCTTCCAAAGTGTGACCTTTAACCAGGTGACATCATTGAAAGTCAGAAACAACCCAGGGCAGGAGACTAGTGACCTGTGCATTGTAGTCACCACTCTTTTTAAAGGTTATGACTAATCCCCAGTAAACTTCAAAATGCTTTAGAAATCACTCTGTCCATCTTTTGTTTTCTTGTTTTCCGTAAGACACAACTTCCTCCTAGTTCATGCTTTGTTTTCTCACTTTTTTTCTCCCTTTCATTGCTCATCTGTGGCACGCCATTTCGACCCTCGCATTCTGTCCCCTGTACCTCTTCTTCTGAACTCTCTCTGGGGACATCCACCCTCTAGATGAGCTATATGCTCAGAAGCTCAAGTACAAGGCTATCAGCGAGGAGCTGGACCATGCTCTCAACGACATGACCTCTCTCTGAGAGGCAGCAGGGTGCTGTCCTCTGTCCTAGCAAAACTGAAGTCTGCTTCTCACTATGGTACCTGTGTTCCCATTTCCTGCCTCCTGGTTTGACCCTTCAAGCCGCCATCTGCTGTGACTGTGACTGTGTGACCGAAATAAAGACAGGGGGTCCTCATCTTCATGCCCTCTTTTCATTTTTTCCACTTGCCGCTCTTGAGCCGTAGTAGCTGTGGTGCCTTGATGTGGGTGGTTCAAATGAAGAGCTCATTTCAGAAAGAAATTATGCCCATGCGATTATTTTCTGATGACATGAAAACAAAAGCCAATCTGGCACGAGCTCTCAGACGCTGTATCTACCAGTAACTGTTTTTCCTTAAACAGAAATTGTTTTGAGTGGAGATTCATCCACCTTCATAGAGTCAGCAGAATTTGCAGAAACCAGCAGGATTGTGTCTAAAAAGAGGCTACGCTTGAATGGGGTTTGCTCTACGGACTCAAACAGTGGCAAAGGCATTTTCATGTCTACGCCTTTTTGCATTTGTTTCTCTTTATACTCTGAGAACAGTGCCTGGGGTTCCCTATGTTTTCATTGTTCGTGGAATATCTATCCAGCTCCCAGTCCTGGGAAGAAGTTCACCCATGAACTTCATCCCTATACCTTGCCTGTAGAAAACTACCCTACAAAGAATTAAAGAGCATCCCATTAGCAGGGAGAGAGTGGAAGCTGCTGGAATGCCAAAGAAAGGAAGTGAGGTGATCCTTTTCTGAGTTTCAAACAAAGTTGCCTGAGATGCTAACATCTACCTCCCCTCATACTTAGCTAGGAAGGAACCTTTGCAAGTCCAGTCAGCCCTCCCCTGCACTCCACCACCACCTCAGATTGTCTCAGTAACTCTGACATGTTGATGTCCAAGCCACATCTTCCAGACTTCCCCTCGAACCTGACAATGGCGTGAAAATCTCGTTACCATTAATGTGGGGTCCCTACGACTTGTTATTCCTCATCCTTTTTTGATTCAAGTGGGAACCTCTGTCCTGATTTTTCTTTATAGTCATTGCTTCAAAATACATCTCCCCTAAACAACCCACACCCTTCCACCCCCAGCATCTCCCTGCTTCTAACTGCCATCCACCAGGAACTTCTGTATAAACCACACCCCTCACATGTTGTCATACATCCACCCCTGGAAAAGTTACAGACTGTGTGGAGGTGGGTGTATTCTGTTTGTTCTCTCTGTGTATTTGTTCCTGGGATTTTTCCAGACATTTGTAGCCTCCACCCTTTGAAACCGCTGCAGCTCTGCCTCTCCAGTTACTCTGGATTGGGTCTATGGTGATCTACTACTACCTGTCTATGGGACTGTCATGATTCTCAAGGGCAATTAACACTTTCAGGGAAAGTTATTTTATCTCAGCCCCAATAACAAAGTAGATGCCAGGAATCTAGTGGCAAGGTGCAGTGAGATCAGGATATATAGTTGGGATGTCGGGGTTTTGATTCTAGCTCTACCACATTAGCTGTGTGACCTTGAACAAACTATTTAGCTTTTCTGCAAAATAAAGGTGCTATCTTAGTTATTGTGAGGATTAAATGAGATAATGGAGAAATTAGCTCACACAGTAGGCCCTCAATTATATGTATGCTTCTAGACTGGATAGGCCTGGGTCACTGTTCTGATGGAATCCTCTGAGATCAGAGTGACTAGGTTTTTTTAAGTGCCTGGTCAAATGAAAAGTTTCACAGTTGTATTTGAAAGGCTTTTTTCCTTTCTGAAAATTTCCAAGCTGATCCTATCATCTTTTAGGAGACATTTTACTTCCCTACAGTATTTTAATGAGTCTTGGCCTAGTCCCTTATCAGCCATCACTCACGCCAAACCAGTTCTCCCTCGTGTTCTGTCATGCATAGCTCTAAATGGCATCTTACTTTCATAAAAAAAAAAAATTGTGTCATCAGCTCAATCACTTAATAACATACCTGTAGTTTAGCTTAAATTTCAATCATGTTGCGTTTGCTTGGGTTTGACTACATTGGTATGGACATATAGAAGCAATAACACAATTACGGGTGGAATTTCAACAGCCATTCCCAGAAGCTCCAAAAGAAAGATGGGTTACAGGACTAATTAACTGGCATTTATGGGGGAGATGTATTAAGTCACCCATATCTGGAATTAAAATCTTATGTTTGTGTAGCACTTCATAAGTTCTGAAGCATTTTTCATTCTGTCTCATAATAACCCCCATACCGCACGGTAGTATTGTTATCGCCATTTGACAGATGGGGAAACAGACCTAAAACGGTTAAATGGCTTACTTCATTGGCACAGCAGGGACTCAAATCCAGGAGTTCTGACTTTAGGGTTGCCAGATGTAGCCCAATTAAATTTGAATTTCAGATAGGCAATGAATAATTTTTTGGTATATGTATATCTCATGCAACATTTGGCATATACTTACACTAAAAAGTTTGTGTACCTGAAATTCAAATTCAACTGAACACTCTGTATTTTATCCTGCAATCTGATCTGACTCCCAAATTTGGTACTTGATTTCTATTATTCCATGGTGTTCCATTATAATTAAAATGCAAAATGCTTTCTCTGCTATGACACATACTCTGGCAGTATGGATTTTAGGAAACCTTCTCCCCCACCCCCACCCCCACCCCTCTTTAAAAAGATGCTTATTAATTTATTTTTCTTCCACTCTTAATCCTCACCAGAAAAACTTGCTCAGGCCAAAGAAGAGAACGTGGGCTTACATCAGACACTGGATCAGACACTAAATGAACTTAACTGTATATAACCACATCAGAAGAGTCTTGTTCCAACAGAAGCTCCAGACCTCCGTTTCTTTCTCTTCTCTTGTAAGAAGTTTCTTTTGTTACTGCATCTACGCAAATTAGGAGTATGTGACCAAATATTTTGTATCAGAGAAGCTTTGAGCATCAGTTAAATCTAATTCCTTCCCCTCTTACCCAAATGGCACCAGATTTTTTTTAGCTCTATTTTTATCCTTAAATTGCATTTATTCCTAAGCTAGTCAGGGTGTTTCCTATTGAACATTAGTCTCTTAAGACTGAGGGCATATGGTTTCTGGGAGATTAAACAACCCCACACTTCCAAATCACAGAATCTAATATCTAGTCACTGGCCAATTTAAAAGGTGGAAGAGTAGAACCACTAGACCACCATTGGACACACTATAGGAGTCCAGGGACCATCACATTAAAATGGGTGGGGATTTTCCATCCCAGAGCATAAAAAGGTTTGGGGAGAGGTTATTGTGGGAAGTCATAAACCATAGACAGATTAGTCGTTTTGACTCTTTTCCACACTCTACTGTGCAGAACATCCTTTGCGCAAACAGTGTGAGAATGCTTGGGAAATAGTTATAACATTTACTCTTATTTGACGCCCTC